CTACTGCTTTTACTATTGCTACTGCTACTGCTACTGCTACTATTACCGCTACTATTATCTATACCTACAAGTACCGATTCCAATACTAATACTAATCCTTATTCTAATCCTAATCCGAATGCTAACACTAACACCAATCTTAGTCTTAATCCTAATCCTAAGCATAATCCTAATCCTGATACCAATGCTAATACCAATACCAATACCAATACCAATGCAAGTACCAATACTAATACTAATGCTAACGCTAATACTTATGCTTATGCTAATCCTAATACTAATCCTAATTCTAATACTAATACTAATGCTAATACTAATACTAATGTTAATACTTATACTAACACTAATACGAACCAGCGGCAGCAGTAGTAGTAGCAGTAGTATACTACTACTGCTGCTGCTGCTGCTTGGTATACTTGTACTAATACTACTAATAATACTACTACTGCGTAGTATTAGTATTAATATTACTATTGGTATTGACATTGGCATTGGTATTGGTATTGGTGTTAGGATAAGGATAAGTGTTAGTATTCAGATTAAGATTAGGATTAGGATAATGATTGCGATTATGATTATAATGATGATAAGAATCAGGATTCGGATTAGTGTTGGTATTAGGGTTAGGATTAGGATTATGATTAGTTTCGGCGTTGGTGTTAATATTCGGATTAGGATTAGGGTTAGAATAAGGATTAGGATTCTGATAAAAATAAGGGTTAGGATTAGGGTTAAGATTAGTATAAGTATAGTATTAGTATTAGTAACAGTATTACTATTAATGTTAGTATTAGTAACAGTATTAGTATTGCTATTGCCATTGCTACTGCTATTGCTACTGCTACTGATAATGCTACTGCTATGCTACTGCTGTTGCTACTATTACTGCTACTATTACTACTGCTCTTGCTCGTGCTCTTGCTACTACTAATACTAATACTAATACTAACACCAACACTTATACTAATACTCATTCTACTAGTACTAATACTGGTGCTGCTTCTACTGCTTAGTAGCAATAACAGTAGGAATAGCAGTAGCAATAACAATAGCAATAGCAGTAGCACAGCAGTAGCAGTAGCTATAGCAATAGCAGTAGCAATACTAATACTAATACTTATACTAGTAGTAATACTATACTGCTACTATTCTAATGATAATACTAATACTAATAATAATCATTATTGTAATCCTAATCCTAATCCTAATCCGAATATTAAGACTAACACTAACACTTATCCTAGTCCTTATACTAATACTAATACTAATACCTAATACTAAGTGATGTTTGGAAACTTCTTGGCGACCACAAATATGCCAGCAACGAAATCATAAACATTTCGAAGTGTCCAAGGTTGAGCTTTAAAAGATCGTTCACATCCCCGTGAACCTAGTATCCTCGCTTTGGTATATTTGAAATAACCTTCCAGAACGTGGTGAAAATGTCGGCGAGCCACGCAGACAGCAACATGTCGCAGAGTCGTGGCTGACCGGTCGCGTACACTGGCCTGCCATTCAGGGGCTCGCCTGATGGGTGGGATGAGATGTAGAGGGAGTAATGGCGTGAGGTATCCGTCCCAGTCCCGTCACCACCCACAGGCGGCCACGTGGGCTGATGGATAGGCGGAACAGGGCCAAAACCGCCGCACTAGCATGACCTGTGGGGTGTTTTAGAAACGATCGTGGTTATGAGGCGCCACATTGTTTTATGCACCTGGACACAGACCTGATATGCATGCGGCAGGTTTTTAATGTTATGTTATTTATTCTTATGATGTAATTTGTGGGCCTGTTCAGGCTGCTTTAGTGTATAAGTATCGACCACCACTATATGAACTGTAAAAGGTGCGTCGCGGAGAGACTTGCAGCATGCTCGTAGAGTACAGGATTTTCGCTGACGATAAAATGACCCTTTACCTTTTGAAAAGTCGGATACCCGCAGCATTTATTACGTAACTGGTAGATAAAATATGAGATCTGAATAGGCCCAATGCGTCAGCTGCCACTTCAGTATATGCTAGCAGAATACGCAACTCTTAGCTATTAAATAATTGGTATTGGGTGACTGTATGTCCACTGACGTTCATTGTTTTATGAAGCCATGTACACAACATGAGCGTGATCACCGGTGAGATGTTTTGCTGTTGGTGGGCTTACAGGTGACACGCTGCACTTCTCGGGCCACGATCTCGTGGACGGCACGCCGGTGCTGGACATCAAGCCGTACATCAGTGAATACGACTCCCCGCCGCAGTCCAGCCCCGAGCCGCTGGCAGCCGTCGACTGGGCCGAGCGCGGCCGCTCGACGGGAGGTAGGGAGCCAGCCCCCGAGGACGTGCTCACACCCTCGGAGGACGGTATCGGCACATCCGATCGGCTGGGGCCGGCCGGGAGAGACGGAGCGGGCGGGCGGGCCGCTCGGCCTCGCTCGGGGAGCCGAGCCGTGTCGGAGGAGAGCCCAGCGCCGGTCTGTGGCCGTGTTCTGGGCGGCTCTTCCGTGACCGTCGCACCTGGCGTGGACCCGCCGCCGGCCGGGGTCGACCCGGCCAGCCTCCGCTCACCAGCCGGCCCAGCCAGCGGCGGCGCCGGTGACGGCACCTGGCTGCAGCGGCTGCGACCCGAGTCGTGGACGGTGGGCTTCACGCCGTCGGCGACGGCGCAGCTGGAGCGCTTTTCGGCGGCGCCGGACGCCGGCCGGCACCGGCTGCGCTGGCTCCGCGACAGCGGCGAGCTGCGCGCCGCCATCGGCCAGGTGCTGCGCGCCGAGCCGCGCTCCGTGTACCGCCGCGCACGCGCCGACCTGCTGCTCTACCACTTCGCCGTGGATGAGTGTCACGTGACGTGCTGGTTCGACCCCCGGCCGCGGCGTGGCTGAGGTGCTCCGGCTGCAGCCGCTGGCGGACAGCCCCATCGCGCCGCCGCCGCCACCGCTGGCGGACAGCCCCATCGCGCCGCCGCCGCCGCCACCGCTGGCGGACGGCCCCAGCCCACCGCCGCCACCGCTGGCGGACAGCCCCATCGCGCCGCCGCCGCCGCTGGCGGACGGCCCCAGCCCGCCGCCGACAGAGGGCGGCACCGTCTCGCCGCTGCTGTCGCCAGAGGACAGCACTGTCCGGCCGGTACCAGAGGAAAGCACCGTCCCACCAGTGCTAAAGTGCAATACCGTCCCATCATCGTTAGATGACAGTACTTTATCGTTGTCGCGAAAAGATGGTATCAGCTCACCGCCGCCGCCGCTGGAGGACGGCGCCAGCCCACCAGCACCGCCGCTGGAGGACGGTATCAGCTCACCGCCGCCGCCGCTGGAGGACGGCGCCAGTCCACTAGCGCCGCCGCAGGGGGACGGCTGACAGGTCGGTCGCCTGCCCGAGCGTTAAGTGTGGGTACTGTGCTCCTCTCCGCTGGGTGCCCGCTGGCGCCGTCACTGACCTGCTGAAGGGGAAGGGGCGCGGGGCGATCTGGTGGCCGATAGCTGTGATCGGTCTGGATATGACGTCCCCGGGAGATCGGTGCAGTGTTTTAGTCAGATGTGTGCCTGCGTTGGTTTTTAGTGCTGTGTCCATACTGTTCAATACCATAGTCATGCAAAACGAGTGTGTTGGTTTGGCCATGACCGAATATTTCTCCAGGACGCTTCTGCATGCGTGTCGTGAGCTGAGCCCCGAGTTCGTCACGAGTGTGCGAGGCGCGTTGGCTCTTTTTTCTTGGTGGCTATGATTGCTGAAGGTTGGCACCTGCATTATAGATACCGCGCGAAGTTGTTTTTTTTTCGTTTATTGAAAACATTGAGCATGAAAACGAATGCCCGACTCAACGATGGCAAGAAACCAGCAAGCACAACTCTCCATGATGGAAATTATAGGGTACAGATGGACAAGCACAACAAATCGAACACAGTCAACACACCTAGATGTGTTCCTAAAGTCAGAGCTGTAATAGATATGTGGCAAGAAAGGCTTTCCAACCATGCGTGAGCACCGCTCGGACTCCTGTGCGCGGCACGTGAAGTGGATTGACAATAGGCTACCGGCCGACAATAGGCCGGCAGCGCGTCAGTGCCACCATTACAGGCCTTCACCGCACACTGAGCGCTAACGAACAAACTAAGCGCTGGGTCGCGCATCATGTGACCGGCATGAGCTCGTCCGCTAAGCGTAGCCAACCTGAAAGCTACGGGTATATGTAACCTGGCGTAAAGACTGCATCGTTAATGTGTAGTGTAGTTCAGGAGGATGCGCAATTCGCTGTGCTGTAATTCACGGTGGGCTGACAAGATGCCAGGTTGCGCTCGGTAAGTACGAAGAAAGTCTGCCGGGTTAACACAGACCTTTTCCGGCCCCAGTGGAAGATGATCGGGGCTGTCGAGCGATGATGTCTGTCGCTTACCTCCAATCATAGATGTGAATGAGTGGCGGACGACGAAAACGCACGTGCAAAGCTTTCATCACACAAGCGCAATATATCACATCTCGAAGGCACGGCGGTGCCGTGAACGTTCTGCGTCCGGCGCCGGTCTCGGACCGTGGCTGACTCCGGCGCGTCCTGCGCCGGTCAGGACCGTGGCTGACTCCGGCGCGTCCGGCGCCGGTCTCGGACCGTGGCTGACTCCGGCGCGCCCGACGCCTCGGTCTCCTGGCGACGCTCCCCCGACTCCGGCGTGTCCAGCACCCCGAGCCGTGGAGCCGGCATGAACGCTTTTCTAACGATCGATGGCAAGACGCCCCGAGTGCTCGCGTGTCGCGCTGTCGGTTGCCACCTTCGGGGGCGGCCTCGGGTTGTGAGCAAATGCACACGAACAGGACGCTGGTCTGTTCTGACGAACAGGACGCCAGTCTGCCCTGACGTTTCGACTAGATGGCATTTTCAGTACCGAGTAGGGATTCTGTGCCTGAGGCTGGCGCCTGTATATCGACCACAGGGCGTCCCTGTCACCATACGGAGTTACACGGCTGCCAACACGACTAGGGTTCGAGCCAGGCTTTGCACAATACCTCTGCCTTCTAGGCAGGTAGCTCTTCAACTGTGACGTCAGCACCTGTCGGCACAACCCGGATGGAAGTCAGCAGTTGGCTTGGCCGAGTCTCGTCTGGATTGAAGTCATTTAGTGATTTATCTAGGCTTTGATCAAAGTTGTGCAACGGCCACCGAAATAGTCCCGTCATTTTCACCACGTGTCGCCACAGTCCAATGAAGATGCGCTGAACGACCCGTGCATTGTGATGCCCCGCTCCAACGAAATAATATTGGCTTTAGGCGATGCTGGCTTGTCATATACCCTGAGTCCAAAGGCGACATCGTTCGTTGACAGCCCTGAGCCGTACTCCGTCACTTAGGGCCGCCCTTCGTCACAGTTGCCTGTTCAGGGCCGGCACCATTGATTAAAGGTTGTCACTATCAGCTCAGAGCGGCCATCCGTCACAGGCTCGTTGATCGTCATCCGTCACTGACGGCTATCGCTGCCTCAGAGCAGCCATCCATCACTGCGGCTCGTTAGTCATCATCCGTCACTGACGGCTGTAGCCGCCTCGGAGGGGCCATCCGTCACTGCGGCTCGTCGATCGTCACCCGTCACTGACGGCTGTAGCCGCCTCAGGGGGGTCATCCGCCACTGCGGCTCGTCGATCGTCACCCGTCACTGACGGCTGTAGCCGTTTCAGAGCGGCCATCCGTCGCTGTGGCTCGTCGGTCGTCATCCGTCACTGAGGCTGTCGCCGCCTCAGAGCGGTCACCTGTCACTGACGGCAGATGCGCCGCTGCTGCCGGCCGGTTCGGAGGCGGCCCGCCCGAGGCGTCCGTCTCGCAGGCGGCCGGACCTGGAGCTGGAGGGTGCGCCGGACCGACCCGTCCCCCCGGCCGGCGACCGACAGCCTCCGGACAGCCGCGCTCTGTCGGCGCAGCGGGAAACACCTGACGACAGGCAAAGGAGGACCTGGTCAGAGGGGTGGGAGCATAGCAATCGGACTTGCTGTACGCAGCAATGGTGGTCTGTGACAAATGGCCAAAGACGCAGGACGCGCGGCGCTTACCGCAAGTGGTGAAACGAATGGTAACTGACCGTTTTAGCCAGTTGATGCGTTCACAAGGTGAACGTCGACGCCGTTTTAATAAAGCATGCGCGAGAAGTGAGAACACTGCAGGTGTTGAGCTAGTCATAACATTACGGCTTTGTGCACGACTGCCCGCAGGCCACGCTGTCTGGAAGGCGGTCCGATGCTAGTAACCATTAGTCACACAAACCTTCTTCGCCTCGTGGGTCCTTTTCCGAAGACTGTGACGGCTGAGTGAGCTTGTAGAAGCATTCCACGCAGATTCTCACTTTCCTGGAGACAACCAGTCCGAGGAACATTTCGTGAGTGAAGGCAAACTTCACAATCTAAGCATACGTGCGCGCTGCAAAGCCGTCCAGCTGTTCTTTCCAGCGCTGTCGAGCTTTGTCCTGTTTCCTGTTCTACAGATATGTGAGTTGTTAGCTGAATCAGAGTGCTATAGAAACATGAACAGACTGCCGCACAGAGCGATCCAGTCGGCGTACGTACCGCCTCGCCTGGTGGATCACGACGCAGGCGCACCCCCTGCAGAACACACCGGCGCAGGAGCGGCAGCCGTGTCGGCGGGCGGTCAGCAAACGGAACGGGGCCTGGCGGCGCCGGCAGCAGGGCGTCAGGCGGCACAAGGTGTGGCGAAGCCTCACCGGCGAACACGGCATCACAGCCTCCAGACCGCTACAGTGACACCGACCCGATCGGGGGCGGTCAGGTGACACTGACCCGGCCGGGCGCGGTCAGGTGACACTGACCCGGCCGGGCGCGATCGGGTGACACTGACCCGGCTGGGCGCGATCGGGTGACACTGACCCGGCTGGGCGCGGTCAGGTGACACTGATCCAGCTGGACGCGGCACCCGTGTCCCAGTGTGACACGTTTTGATTAAGCTTTAGTGTAAAAATATTCAAACTTCTTCAACAAAGTTTTAAAGAATATGTTGAAAAACATGAAGCTACAGAACTTGTGACGCAGATATGAAATTCCACGGCAGATGTGAAAAAGCGAACGACGAAACACAATGCTGGCGTCATATCCCATTTGAGGCCAATGCTCTGACGGACAGACAGCTCTGACAGAAAGACGCCCGCAGCGGCGGACCGGGCCAGCACGACGGGGCGTGCCGCAGGCGGCGCCGACCGCGCGTGACGGAGCTGGCACCGCAGCCAGCTGAGACACGCACCTGACAGCTCTGGCAGCTGGCGAGGCGCCGGGTCCGGTGTTTGCCGGCCGTACCGGACGCGGGCCGGCGGTCGAGCGGGCCGGCCAGACGTCTGTAACAGGGCGCCGTCCCTCTCAGCGCCGCGTGGCGGCTGAGAACGCCCGCGCTCAGCGGCCGTGCGTGGCAGACACGGCGGTGTTATACAGGTGACAGGGCGGGGAGTGATCTGCGTAAGACGCCCTCCCCTCTGGCGGGAGGCCTGTCTGAGTACTGAGTATGTACCCCGTAAAGTGATCCCTGTGCGGACTGTCTGGGCGAATGGACCACATTGCATATAGGTTTGCCCAGCTATAATCCATTCCCTTTCATCCCATAGCCATGAAATGGGCATTAACGGCCAAAAGGGTTCTGATCAAAACAAAACCATCACCCAAGCCTATGTAAATGCCTGTTTTCATAGCACAATGTTGGCTGGACCGTCTCACCTTTTGAATTCCTCGTAGTTCATGCGTCCACCGTGCCATGCGCAGCACACCGCGGGGCGACAATCCTGTAGTTCGTCAGAAGCGTGCGCCGACTCCTTCAAATCCTTGGCGGGTGGAGCCCGGGCGAGGTCGTCGCTGCTCATTTGGGCATGCATCTGCAGCGACGAGATCACGCCCCTCAGTGACCGTCACGTCACAGTGCGGCGTGCCGTGCCATTAAACGTTTACCGCACACTGTCGACACGTCTCGCGCGCCCATTCTCTCCCGTACTCCGTCCGTGCTAGCTCGCTTCTCTCCCGTCCCTCGTCTGTATCTACTCTCTTTTCTCCTGTCCCTCGTCCGTGTGCGCTTCCTTCTCTCACGTCCCTCATCCATATGTGCTCCCTTCGCCCCATCCCCTGTCTGTGTCTACTCTCTCCTCTCTCGTCCGTCGTCTGTGTCCACTCTCTCCTCTCCTGTCCATCGTCCGTGTTTGCTCCCTTCTCTCACGTCCCGCATCCGTGCCTACTCCCTTCTCTCCCGTCCCTCGTCTATGTCTTCTCCCTCCTCTCCCGTCCACTCGTCCGTGCATACGCTGGTCCTCCCGTCGCTCACCCGCTCTAGCTCCCGCCTGGCCGTGCTGCAGTCCGCCTGGACGGAGCGCAGCTGTGCCCTGGCGTCGGTCAGGTGGCGCTGCAGTCGCCCGAACTCGGACTCGCCCGGCTCGCTGCCCGTCGCCCCGGCCGCGGCGCTGCCGCTGCCGCTCGGCACCGCGGCCTGCTCCGCGGCGCTCCCCTGCCAGGCCTCCCCAGGCTGGTCTGACTCGTTCCGTTCCTGGTCGTGGCTTCTGCCTGTGTCGTTGTCCGCCTCCGCTGCTTCGCTCCGCCTTGCAGCAGTGGGCACGGCCTGTTCCGTGACGTCGTTTCGTTCTGTGGCCGTGACTCCTCTCCGCTCTGTGTCAGTGGCTTCTCTCCGCTCCATGGCCGCGCTCCTCGCTGTGACAGGGGCCACGTCCTGTTCCTTGGCGTAATTGCGCCCTGTGACAGCTTCTTCCCTTCGCTCTGTGACGTCGACTTCTTCCTGCCCGGAGGCTTCACTGTGTTCCGTGATCGTTATCTCGTTTCGAGCCGTGGGGCTGCCTCCCGTCGATGCGAGGTGACGGTCCGTGAGAGTGGTGTCAGCTGGCTCCAACGGGCCAGCGTCACCGCCCGACTCCACGAGCGTAGCCTCCGACGCGTCAGAGCCGTGTGTGCTGCTTGCCGCGACGGTGGCGCTGCTCCCGCTGAGGCGGGCATTGTTCGCAACACCGCTACAGGCGGCTGGGGCGCTGTTGTCTGGTGGCGTCTCAGAATTCTCGGCAGCGTCTGACATACCGACTGTCTCCGTGAAGTAAGGACCGGGCTGAAACACGCACAGAAAATTGGTTACCTCCGAGCGTTATTTTTACAGATGTCCCGCCACGCCATTCATCTATAGGTGCTGCAGCAATCGTGGATATTTTCAAATTACCCCAGATTTTCTACAGCTCTTAGTTATTGAGTTTTAAGGGTGCGGCAACTGCATTGGTTATTTGTGTCCTACAGCTCTAAGTGACAGTGACGTCCACGTGTTCCCCATCAAAAAACATGTCCCGGGTCCGGGCCCGGTAGCCTCAGCACCCAGTCTCTGCCGCTTAACATCATCACGGCTCGATCCCGACGCCGTCGCAGCCCGTCACTCGTCGCTCCTGACCTGCATCCGGAGCGCCTGCTCCTGCTGCACGCGCAGCTCCAGCTCCTGCACGCGCTGCTCCAGGTGCCGCTTGGCCGTGCTATCCTCGCGGCCGCGGCGCCGGTGCTCGCTACGCTCCGTGCGCATGCGCGCATAGTTTCTGCTCGATGCGCTCATTCTGCCGCTGCAGCTCGGCGATGCGCTGCGCCAGCTGTTCGCGCTCGCGACGCAGGTGCACCATGCGGCTTGGCAGCAGGCTGATGAGCTTGCACCCGACAGTCGACACGTCGTCGGACCGCGACCCGTCCGCCTCGTCCGTCTCGTCCGGCTCGTCCGGCGCCGTCGATTCGTCCGAGTCGGAGGAGCGCTCCGCGGGCGCCGGCTCGGCCGCGCCGCCGCCACCCGCGCCGGCGCCGGCGCTGCCGCCACCGTCGCCGGCGCCGGCGCTGCCGCGGCGCGCGCGGCCGAGGAACAGCGCCACCTGGTCGAGCAGGTCGGCGGTGGAGCGGGGACACGTCGGCTGGGTCCTCGTCGGTCAGCCGGTCGGCGGTGGCACCGTCCGGCTGGCCGACGGAGCCGCGCCGCCAGCCGACCGCCGCCTCGTCCACTGAGTCGGACGCCGACTCGTTCGGCTCGTCCGCGTCCGAGCTGGCAGCCGCGGGCGGCTCGGACACGGTCACCACCGAGGCGACGAGCGCGTGGTCGGCGCCGGCCAGGTGCGCCGACGCCGTAGCCAGCTGGCCGGTCGGCAGCGGCGGCAGCGCGCGCGGCCCGCCGTCGGCCGCCACGGCCACCGAGAGCGCGGCCACTGCCAGCCCGGCCGGCTCGGAGGCCACGGCGGCGACGGCCGCGCGGGCGCGTGGCGCCGCCTCCTCCAGCGCTTCGGCGGAGCCGGGCTCGTGGTGCGGTGGCGGCAGCGGCTCGTCGCGGCTGCTGTCCGACGGCAGCTCGTCGGCCTCAGCCTCGGACGGCGTCTGCTGCGGCTCGCTGCTGGCGTAGGCCGTGTCGGTGCTAGTGCTGGCCAGCGAGGCCGTCTCGCTGGTGCCGTGCAGCGTGTGCAGCTCGGCCAGCCGCGAGCTCAGCGCCACCTGGCGTGCCGTGGTCGATACCAGCCGCGTGTACAGCTCCTGACATTGGTGCTCGAGGGTGCGCAGGCGGCCGGCCGGGCGCGGCCCACTCGAGTCACGCGCCTCCGCCGTATCCGGCAGCTCGGACGAATCCACAGAGCCCGGCGACTCCGGCAGCTCCGATGAGTCCGGTGTATCCTCGTGCTCGGGCTCCGGCGAGACGCTGCCAATGGTGTGCTCGCCCGCCACACCGTCCCTCTCCACGTCGCTCGCCTGCACTGGCGGCTCCTCCTCCTCCACGTGAGGCTGGCGCACCAGCTCGCGCTTGCGCTGGTCGAGCTCGCGGCGCAGCGCGCGCCACTCGAGCTCCGACTCGGCGTTGAGCCGGCTGGCGAGCGCCGAGCGCTGGCGCGAGCCCTCCAGCTCGTCGCGCAGCCGGTTCAGCAGGCGGCGCTTCTCGCGCAGCTCGTAGCGCAGCACGGACTCGGTCGTGTGCAGCTGGGCGTGCTGGATCTTGAGCTTGGTCACGAGGCCCCAGGTGCTGTGCAGCTCGGCCGCCACGCTCGACAGCCGCTGCTCCTGCCGATTCAGGCGACGCTCCAGCTGCACGTTGAAGCCCTTCAGCTTGTCGATCTCGCTGAGGAGGGCGCGCTTCTCCAGGATGAGGTCGCGCAGGCGCAGGTACGTCTTGCTGACGTGGATGACGAGGCGCCGGCCGTGCGGCGTGTCCACGCGCTCCACAAGGCCGTTGGGCTGGTCGGCGTCCGGCACGCCCGGCTCGGACGGCTCCGCGGCGCTCGACTCGGCGCGGCGGCTAGCCTCGAGTGCCGCCTCTCCCTCGGCCTCCTGCCGCTGCAGCTGCTCGAACAGCGCGTTCACCAGCCGCAGCTGACGCTGCACGCGCTCGTTCTCGGTGGCGCTACGGCTCAGCTGGCTATGCAGCCTGTGCATTAGTTCGGTCTGCTCGCGCAGCAGGTCCGCCTGCTCCTCGCACCGGTCCGCCAGCAGCGCGTTCTGCTGCAGACACGCCTCCAGCTCCGCCGGCAGTGGGTCATCTACCGTCTGCGTCGGCGTCGTCTGCATCGTCGGCGTCGACGCGACGTCGCACCGGCGCCCCAGCGGCGCCCCGTCTCGTGATACGGCGCCGCGTGACGCCGCTGGCACGGCGACGCCCGCCGGCTGGCGGTCGCCGTCTCTTCCGCGCTGCGCCGTTGGAGAGGATCCGAGCGGCGCAGCAGCCGGGGCCGCGCAGAGCCCGCCGTCCGGCGCCTGCCGCGTGCGGCGCCCGGCCATCGGCGTGACGCTCTCGCACGTTAACGTCTGGCACCGACGCACTACTGCGTCGAACGTGGCGCTGAGAAATTCAGAGGCTGACAGCACGTGGTCGCAGAGCTCCGGGAGGTCACTGTCCGTACTCTGCCGACAGTGTTTCTGAAAAGCGAGATCATCGTCAGCGGCAAACTCCACTAAGTCAGTCAGTCCGTGGACGAGACCCAGCGGGGATGAACGCGATGAAGCGGTGTAAAGGATGCCTCGAGGAAGCGACGGCTGACCGCCGCGCGTCCCTGCGGACCGGGGCATTTAACGGCGGCCGCCGCCAAATACCTGGCCATCGCGACCGGTGCCAGGCAGACGCCGATGCTCGCCGCTGCCAAGGCCGGTCGCTGCCGGTCCGGTCCCGGTGGCCGCCGACGGTGGCCACTCTTTACACTCCGGCCTAACACAGCCGTCACCACTCCTCTCACTCCGGTCCCAGCCGTCGCCACTTGGAACGGGGGCCAATTCAAACACGCGGCGGCCGACTCAGGCGGGCTTGCCGCGATCGGGCGAGCGTAGGGCGGACAGAAAAATGGCCGCTTCGGGAAAAACAGTGGCCGGCCAAATCCGCGACTCGTACCTCCGTCACAAAGAGGAGCTATGGCGCAAGAGCGGCTGGCAGATGGCGCCGGTCTGTTTTGGTAGCTGTTCCAGTACGTACGGAATCGCCTTGCCACTGTTTTACGCCTCATTTTAAACTGAAGGGATTGAAGACCAGAAAAAACGTCTGCCATCCGCGCCTCATATGTTAACGTTGCGTAACCATGCATCATGGACACGTGGGCAAGCAACGAATCCTGTTAAAGGACCGCGATTCTTAAGTCTTTGTTCGAATTTCGCACATGCTCGGTGAGAAATGTGATGTCGCTTGCCTACCGTTCGCTATTTCATAACGCTAACACGCGCAACTACATGATCTAACTCGCCCGGCACACCGTCTGTCCCGGTGATCCAGCTGATAAGAGCTTAGACCGCGCGTCTCCTGATTAGCCCATCCACGGCGGGGAGGGTTCGAATCGCCCCGAGCGCTCGCTATTTGCCGGTGATTGGGATGGCCCGCGGCCGATGGCAGCGGCCGCGCTAGGGGTTGGGTGGCGTTCGCGCGTAGAACGGAGCGCCTAGAGGAGTACGGCCTTTAACATTCGCCACAATTCTGTCTGTGAGCTAGAATTTCACGATCGGATGGCGCGATCAGGGCCCACACAGGTATTTATTAACGTGTGCTCGGATCCCAGAATCTATCTAATCAAAATGTTTGGACCTTGTTTTAGAGCCAAATCATTTACCTGATGCAAGCTTTCCTCCTGCTCCTGAATAAAGCTGTCCCTGAGCGCCAGCTGCTGACTGGCTTCGTCGATCAGCGCTTCTAGGTATCGCCGTTCTGTTGTGGCGATCCAGAGCCTCTGCCTGCAAGCGTCAAGAAACGTTTGAGAATTTGCAGCACATATTACACACTATTGCAGCGTGTGCTGCACAGCTACTAGGTACGGCAGGGGCAAGCTGAAGCGTTCTCATCACACCATCTCAGTACCTGGTCCAGCACACGTGCCACAACTTACGCTGGTTTTACTATGCGTCATTTTTCACCTACCTGTCCTGTTCCTGGTCCTTCATGTCTGAAGCGGGAGGTTTCTCTTCATGTTCTGGCGCCAGGTTGGCCCCAGCTCGAGACGAGTTCATCTGACATTCAGCAAGAGGGTCCATTAATCAACGTTTGTGTATACTCATGTTATACACAGCCCTACTCGGGCACTGTGTAATCTAAAGACAAGCTACTGGCCCACCTTAGCCGTGTTCTTATCCACCGAAGAACACAACACATTAACGCGATTTGGGCTGCTTAACCGAGTACTTCGTACACACAGTTTGAAGTTTAGCGGTGGTGATAGCATGACGTTCACACAAGCATCTCACAGTTGCCCCGACTACGGTCTCTCTTTGTCCCGTGGGTGCATGCCAAGGATCGGATATCAGGCCCGGCTTTATTCTCTTGTACTACTTGTTGTGGCCCACGGGTGACGTTTACGCAACTCCGAAGTCGTCTGTTAGCGACAACAGCACGAGACCGACGACCAGCAACGTCTGTAACGTCTATTGGCAGTCCCGCCACACCGCGTGACCCCGCCCTGATCTAACCCCGTCCCGAGTCCCGGCACGCCCCCTCCCTGTCCCGCCCGCGCCGTCCCGCCCCGGGAGCGCGGCCGCGGTACGCCGGGCCCGGCGCGCCGTACTCACCCCGCCGGAGCGTGTCGTCCGCCGCGTCGGCCGGCCGTGCTCTGACCTGCGCTTTGTGGCGGCGGTCATGTGCCGACAGCGGTGGCTATTTCTGGCCGGCGGGAGCGAGCCGACGCGCCGGCGCGGCCGGCCGCCAGCGGCGTCAGGCCCGGCCGCCGGCTCCGGCCCGACTGGCCGCCTCCGCTCTAGATGAAGAGGCGGCCGAACATGTTGGCGTTGTTCTGAAGCCCCAGGAAAAGTTCTCGACAATTTAATTGGAAATGAAATATAACTTTTTCAGCTATCGTGCTTTTGCGCCGGGTACAGGGATAAAACTACAATGTGCTGCAATACTTAACCGCAAGATAAGTGTTAAGGATGTGATGGCTTCCACTGGTCAGATGGTCCAATGAACGCAGATGGTCATGTTGGAAGCATCTGTGCTGGGGACGCCGCGCAAGTCCCCTGAACTGGCCTCGGACGGTTTAAGCCGGCTCATGGTGACGTCTTACCTTCTAAATGTGGATGACGTCATCCCTGGCTGACTGGATACGTGGAATGTCTTGGAGAGCGTGGGTGAAGTGATGACGAAGTCGATGTGGCTTTATTCCAGATGATGCCATCTTAGACGTAGCGAAATTTCCCAGAGAAGATGGCTGATGAATATATTTGTTCGAAAAACAACCGCTTAATTTAGTTTTTCTCGACGTAAGCGCGATAAGAGAGCGTGATCTGAGAGCTTGCGGCTGGCCCCGCTCGGGCCAGCTGGCAGTCTACTGCGTTTGTGCAAACAAGTTCCCGTAACGGTCCAGTAGTTCGCAGAATCACCCGCCGGAGTATGACCCACTGGCAGCGCACATTTCCAGTGTTACTAAGACTTTTGTCCGCAGCCTCGGCTTGTGTACGCACAACCTGGCTAGTGGCTGTGCTTTCGAGCTATGTAGCGCGAACGATCAGCATGCATAGGTGTGCGCGGTCCTTTCCAGAAGCTTCTAGATCCGCGATTTTGGAGGTCACACCTACCACGTCAAGTATTCCTGGCACGTTTGGGCATAGCCACGTGATGCTCGCGGCACCCATGGAATATTTATTTGATTCTGCATGCAAATACATAAAAGTCACGGCAATGTCGTAGTGTTTTATGTGAATGACCGACCGCAGGAATGCGTCTCGTTGACTTTCAGCAGCTTGCCGATAATTCATAACTGCGTTCGACCGTCACGCTTCAAATGAAGCGTTCATGAATCTGCTCATGTGCAGATACCAACCGATTGGCGATATGCTTAAAGAACGATTATCCTTACACTGAACAGGGTGAGAGCGAGTGCCAATGGTCATGGGACAGCCAACGGATCTAACACACTCTCAAACCTATTGGCTCCTGCCCAGTTATTACACAGATTCACTACGGAGCACGCTATCAGAACCACAAGATCTCACTCCGCTTTTGTATCTCGCAGCGGTACACAGTTCCGAAAAGATCGGATTTCGCTCAATGAGAGTCTAGCATCGAAGCATGTTCTCAAAACCACTGGCCACTGCTCGATCACTGTATCCGGCATCAGGGCGCACTCGCGACGGGATCGTACCCCGTCCAGCCACTGTATCCGGCACCAGGGCACACTTTCGACGGCATCGCATTCCGTCCAGTCGTTGTATCCAGCAGCTCGCCGGACCATCGAGCTCTTCGGAGCTTTTAGGCCGTGCCCGTCTTCCTCGGCACGCTGGCAGAGGACCGACTAGCGACAACAGTCACGTGACAACAGTCACGTGTCCCGCGCTCGGGACGACTGAGCCGGTCGAGGGCCGGCCGCGGTCGGGTACCCGGACACCTAGCGCCACCTTTACACAGTTCGCTTTCGTCCGAAAGGTGTCGTTAGCGGTCACTTGCACGTGTGCACCGTCTTTTGTCGGAGACAGCTTTGGCACTGAACCTTACAGCACCAAACGAATTTGCACTGGCAGCGTTCATTGACGGTAATGCGCTGGGTGTTGTAGCCCCGGCCACAACAGAGCAGTCCGCAGCCGTCGGTGCCCTTTGAAGTTCGCTCGCACGCGCGACCGGTTGTTCCTGCGGAACGGCGAATCGCAAGACCGGTTAGGTAACACTAACATCGATAACTGGTTAGCTTTGATCCAAAAGCCATTACGTCGGCCAAATATACAAAAATCACGCAATAAAAAGCAACAGCAGCAGTTCAAGATGCAAACTGCATGTAAAGTTGCATTTCTAATGCATTGCCACCACTGACCAGACGAGCCGAGCGTGTCGTTCCTCCTGCAGTAGTCCGGACTCTCCTGGATGTAGACCAGGTCGTTGGCGGTCGGCCTCCTGTACCGGCGGTTTCTGACGCGCAGCCGGCCGCGGCGAGTGACCTTGACCTCCGTCGCTCCGTCGTACTTGTCCTTCAGCGTGTCACCTGGCGGCGCGCGACGCAACCGTGAAATCGGTGCACCCACCGGATGACATGGTACACATCTGTTGAATGGGTGCAGCCGTGTCTCCAGGCGGCGCGGTACACGGCCTTTGCATCGGCACAGCCGTGCACGCTGGTCGAGGACCATGCAGCACTGAATTCTGCGCGCGCGTATTACCTGCTGACATGAACGCAGACAATAAAATCGATGCACCGGGGGCCACCTGGCGGCCGAACATGCCGATTTGTCGACAGTATCAAAGGAGCTTTGCGCACCCTGGTGTGGGAGCGACCCACCGTAACGCCTTCTGTCAGCTTGCCCCCAGCTGAAGGTTCAGCCATGTCCATGCTTGCCATCAAGTCAGATATCAGGAGAACATCATGAAAGGCAACAAGCCTATCGAACCGATTAGAGAAGACCGCTGACTTACCACACACGTATTTTTGTAACAAATGCGGCTTGCATCTGACTGGCATGCCTGCGTTTGATCCCGTTTCGACAGAATCGATAACGAATCTGACTTACAGCGCGTGAATTAGATACTCACTCTCACTACGAGTAGCGCAGCAGCTTTGTGTCAACTCCGATCCCGACTCGAACCTGCTTGGTTTAATTTGTAAATTGTTTCTTTTGTAGTTCTCTAAGGAAAGCAGCATTGAATGTATCACACCCAATCAGCTCCTTAAAATCATACAGATGGGAGATTTGGTTTGGCAACAAGAAGTTGTTTTGAAGCTGGTAGTCCTTTTCCGGGGCATCTCATACTCGACGACTTCCCCGAAGGCAGGCAGATGACTTACACTCGCCGACGTCTCTAGAGGAGGGAGGCAGGCCTCTCACCTTCTCACCGACTTATACTTCTCGTACTCTCAGCACTCTCTCACGTCTCCCACTCACCGACTTCTCTGAAGGCCGGCAGCCGCTGCCAGCAGGTCACGGTGGAGCAGGAGCCCGACACACCGTGGCACTTGCAGTTGACCTTCGTCAGGTCGATGACCGCCTGCGGGCACGACACAGTACACGAATTGCGAAAGGGCACGGCGAAATTCGCCAGCTAAGCCAGCGCTAATAAAGCCCATTTCATAAAGTTTAACGTCTAGCTGGCTTCACATGCATAGCCACGATTAATACGAAATGGAAGTGCTGGCCCCACGTTGCTCTGTAAACAGCAGTTACGAGGCGGAGAACCTTCAGCTGCGCACGAGAACTTGAGTGCCGTCCGTTTCGTGGGCACGAGTTGGCACCACAATGGCGCGAAACAGTGCTTAAAAGCCTCATACGTTCGGCAGTACGCAAGTCATCACTTGAGTCAAACCATATGAAGCATTCGAGACTGGAGGAAAAAGACACAGGCTTAATGGTGCGAGGATATTCGCCTGGTGGGATTGCGCTGCTCACGTATTCAGAGGAACACCAGGCAGCAACGCACGTGGTGTTTCCAGTAGTGCAGGAATAATCAGGCAGTGTGTGACTAATGCACCGCCTGGCACGAGGCACGGTTTATTTCGTTTTCAAAATAAAATGCGGCGGTGCAGCCAGGAATACTGACATATTCATGTTCACTTATTTGGTGTCCTCCATGCGATCGCAGTTTTCCGGGACAGCACGACAAACAAGGGAGAAAAGCACTAAGGAAAAAACACGTAAAATACCAGGCACACAGTATTATACGGAGTTGTGAACATCACAAATTTGTAAGAATGGATAGATTAAAATTACCCGTAGCGGTAGAACCGGTAGTTATCCCAAGTTGGGGGAGGGAAGGGGGAGAAGGAGGACGGTACAATATTTTTGGGAACCTCTTTCCAGTCAAAGCCCATAGGGCCAGCGTTACGTTTTCAGCAAGTTGAGGGACTCATCCCCCAGGCTATTAGTTCCCGCACCCCTGCCTGCAGTTGGTCACCCGCTGGCGGACCGCCGTTGGCGAGGCATGGCCGACTGTGAGCGTGCGAACCGCCTGCTCTCCGCTCCACACAGTTAGGCGTCGTACAACTGCCGACAAAAAGTGCGCAGCACAACACTGCACAGAATGCAAATCACTGGAGAAAGGGCAAAAAGGTGATACCAAGTCCTCGCCTCTCGACGGCCGGCTCCCCTAATTGAGCCGTTGCATCGTCTCGGCAGTGTCAGCTGACTGGAGTGAAGCGGACAGGCGGTGACTGGAGGACGGCGAGCGTGCAGGACGGCGGTGCGACAGGCGGCGCTACGATCGCCGTCGGCAAAAGAGGTGTCGGAGGTGGGGCTGGTGTGTCCCCTAGAGCGCTCTCTCAATGGTTGTATCGGATTGCTGATAATGCCTGGACAGATACTGGACGTGGCTTGTCACCACAACTCCACAAACACCTCCAGGCGTTCTCCAGCGATAAAAACCTCGTCGCCAGGTGGTGAGCCATGAGCGTACTAGCCTGTCCAGCGCAGTGCAGGTGTGGCAGGCTCGGGTAGGATTTGCCTGTCCAGTGCAGTGCAGCGGTCGCGTCTCGGGTAGGATTTGCCTGTCCAGTGCAGTGCAGGCGTGACATCTCGGGTAGGATTTGCCTGTCCAGTGCAGTGCAGCGGTCGTGTCTCGGGTAGGATTTGCCTGTCCAGTGCAGTGCAGGCGGGACGTCTCGGGTAGGATTCGCCTGTCTAGTGCAGTGCAGCGGTCGCGTGTCGGGTAGGATTTGTCTGTCCA